CTCTATACAACGAAAGGAGACTGCGACCACACAAAAGGCCACACTATCTTGGTCTTCATACCTTCGATTAAAGCAAATATATTGTTAGCCAAATAGTTCTAGTCTCCACAGCGTCTATCCAGTTTCCATCCATAATAACAAGTCTATCACTTCATATGCCCTAGTCTCTTTTCTGTCAACCCACAAAGCTGTGGTACTGCTTGCTTTGATTAGGTTCAATGTTGAACGACAGCATTTTTGGGTTGGCACACAAGGGACTATGGCATAGGAAGTGATAGACTTGGTATTATCAATGGAAACTATAAAGACGCTGTGGAGACTATAGCTATTTGGCTAACAATAGATGTGTTTGCTCATAGACGTGATCCATGAAGCACCTCTATTTTTTACCAACTAGCTCTATACCGAGTCTATCCTGTTTCTATCCCTAATACTGAGTCTATGGCTTCCTATTCCCGAGTCTCTTATGTGACAACCAACAAATGTTGTGGTTCGACATTGAACTTAATCAAAGCAAGAAGGACCACAGCATTTGTGGGTTGGCACACAAGAGACTAGGACATAGGAAATCATGGGCTTGCAGCGGTTATAAAGGGCATATTTCAACTCGGATTTTATGAAAATCCGATCAGGAATCAGGACGACAAAAAGTGGGTTTTTCTAACCTTATCTGAACTGAGCCAAAAATTGCAACCGTTACTACGGAAATGGAACATCAAGGTAATAACAAAGGAGAAGGCAATACTTTTCACTAGTCTGCCGATTCATACGAGAATTTTGACAAACCGATTTGCTTGGGAGTTTATCGCATCAAGTGCGGCAACTAGGAGCACATTTATATATTTAAAACAAGTAGAAAAAATCAAGGAACATCAAAGACTGCAAGAATATGGATATGGAAAAACCCGAAAAGAAAAGGTAGGAAAATAAATCGCAAAGATACTATTAAAAAGACAATTTAAAGCCAAGAGGAGACGTCTTCAATGAGCCTAATCAGAACAAGTAGATCCACAACATTTGTGGGTTGGAATACAAGAGACTAGGACACAGGAAGTGATAAACTTGGTATTATGGATAGAAACAGAATAGATGCAGTGGAGACTATGGCTCTTTGGCTAACGTGTTTGATCACTTTTATTGTTAACCAACTAGCTCTACCCCCAACCGCGTCTATCCTGTTTTTATCCCTATTACCAAGTCCATGACGTCCTATGCTCTAGTCTCTTGTGTGCCAACCAACAATTATTGTGGTTCAACATTGAAACTAAACAAGGCAATCAGTACCGCAACATTTGTGGGTTGGCACACAAGATACTAGGACATAGGAAGTCATAGACTTGGTATTATTGATATAAACAGTATAGAAACGCCGAGAAGACTGGAGCTAGTATACTGACAGTAGGCCTGTTTTATCATAGACAGAGTCCATGATGCAAAGGCTTGATTATGAGAATTACTCTTGGGTTTTACCCTCAAGTTAGTCTCCCAGGGGCAGAATGTGGGAAATAACGCCTCGAGTAGCACAGATGGGGTGGCAGGGGTCGTGTGAAATATTTGAACCAGAAAGATAGCAGACGGATCCTACGAAGCAGGAGGGAGACTGTTAAGACATAGGAAGGAGGACTGCGTAACAACGACAGACATTATTAACATTCCTAACACAAGGGTGAATAGGGATTAGAAAGCCAGTCTGGAGTGTGGATAGTTACCATTAAAGCCGCTCAAAAGAGCACACCACACCACATTTAAATAATCAAGTAAAAAATTGTGATAGTGAGGGCGAGGATATAGTATTGGCGATGAGCCAAGAGGCGAAGTATAGATACTAGGATTGTTAGCCGTAATTGGTCAAGAGATCGGCTTCACTTGTCTCTTTGACAAGTTGTAGTGTGTTCCTAAGACTGTCAAGACTCACTAACAATGCCGACTTTGATGCCGGAGAAACGTCTGTGAATGTAGCACATCCACTGTGCAACTCTGAAAATTATCATGCATACAATGAACTTCAGACTAGGTGCATTCCTCTAAGTCTTCTTGCCAATGTGACCAAGTTGCGATAACAAGGTAAAACAACTTCTATTTTATTTTCTATTTACTCACATGCTTTAGTGGCAACGTTATTTATAAATACTTTTGCCTTCCATGTATGCTACAACTCCTTTAATATTCTTTGTTTTACAATCTCTTAGGAGACCCTCTTAGATAAACGACCTCGCAAAACCAACCCTGCAGCCAGTTCTGTCCTCCTTAGTAGCTCTGATATGTCGAAGGCATCAAACATTTTGCCTCAAGTGCAGCCGACCACCGGACCAGATGGTTTAATTTCCACGGGTGTCTATGAGGCTGGTGCAACTGCGGCTGGACTTTTACTTGATCTTCCTGCGCCGTTCGTCAATGCTCCCGCTGGTCGGCGTACGCTTAAGATCGTGCGGTCTTATCAATCTGATTCAGGTCAAACTTATACGCGTACAGAGCTCGTCGCTTGGTCTTCGGTTGTTGAAATATACCTAAAGATAAGACAAACTCGTGATGATGATTTTATCCAACAATTTGTCGGTTCGGACGATCAAATCAGGGAGCAGCAGCGCAGAGAAAAGCGCCGTATCCAGGTAAAGTGTATTTGTCTGCATTTTTATCTGCTTACAATTTATGGCTCTCTAAGTAGAATTTTGTCACAATAAGTGATAGTTTTTCTTCTCTATATTCGTCCTAAAGGCATCTATAATTTTTTTTAGTCTTCGCAGCACATAGGTGAGATCACACCCAGCATGTTGGCTATGAATACCAATCTCGCTAAACAGGATGTTGGTCTATTAGATAGCTTTAATTCTTATAATCGAATGTATGAAG